TTATCTTTTTGGCTCTCTGCCATCGCTTCTGGACGTTGCTTCTGCCACTGCTGTCTCTGCTCACTCACGGTGGAGAAAACTTTCCTAGCTCTCAACTGCAGGCACCTAGCCCAGCTTTATGCTGTTCCAGGTCCCCGCAGCCCCCGCTGGGGGCTGGGGGAGCCCAGCCCCCAGTGGGCCTGTTGCTGTTTCTCCTCGTGGCCTCAGAACATGGCTACCACTTCTACAACCAAACTGCAACTAACCACCTCTTCCGTTTGCTTGTGGTATGTTTACATTTCACAGAAGCGCTCATTGGACAAAACTTCAAAACTTCAAAACTTCCAGGGGTCACCACCCGCTGGGGTTTTACCACTTTCTTAGCTTCAGGGGGAAAACCTGGTTCAAACCACTACAATGGGTTTGAGGGTTTTTTATTATTTTTGGGGTTTAGATTGTTAATTGAAAGGAATTGCTTCAATGGCTCAGACATGAAAATATATTGTAAAGGAAGAACTTCAAAACCTTATCAGATTCGAAGACTTTATTATGTAAGGACAGGGCTGCAAGAATTCGGTACAAAATCCTTGTAAATTCTGAAGTCATGGATATAAGGACAAGTTCTGATGTGAGCCTGGCCAAGACTTCAGCTCTTGATTTTGTACTAGGTGGACATTTAAAAATGGAGATTAAAGTACAGTATGAACATGTAGGCAGATGGACACGTCAGAACCTGAAAATGTTACCATTTTACTAGGACTAATAAATAAATGAATTAAGAGTGGCACCTTCATTTTGTTCTTATTTGTAATATTAGGCAAGACTGAACAAAAATAAAATTCACAGTAATAAACTTTTTTTCTGGCAACAGATCTGAATACATAGATTATTGATGTCAAGCTATTTAGATTCTTCTAGTACATAAAATGGATTTTTTTATTATTATTAATAAAATAAACAACTCATGCTTTGAAGCATGTCATTTACTGAGACACAAGGAACCAGTCTGCTTTATGGCTGAGACTTTTAAAAGAGTAGGATGTGAGCAATTTTAGAGAAAGAAAAGGTTTGCTTCTTTCAGTTATATTCCATTTTATTTACTATGTCTTTCAGCTTGGGAAAACATTGAATATTTTCGCTTTTAATGAAATTTTAAGTTATAACTCAAAAAGAAATTTTCCACATAACTCACAAACTCAAACAACTGTCACAACTCTTCCTACCCAAGGGCGGTCAAGGCCATGCTAGCTCAGAGATGACCTGTGCAAACCCTTTATCAAATGCTGCAAAACACAAGAAAATTGAAAAATATTCATATATTTATGGACAATTTAAGTTCATAGTTTCATGAAGCTGCAAGTCCCAGTAATGAAGGAAGAGAGGTGAGGAAATAGAATGATCCTCAAAGGTGTAAAATATAATAAGTGTAAACTTGAAGATGGATAGCACACCTACAAATTAATAGAAAGTATTTTTTAATTCAGTCATTAAACTATAACAGGATAAACTTGTAATAATAAAGATTGATTATGAGATAATGAAATCAAATAGAAATCTAAAATTTTACATCCCTTCGGTAAGCATAGGAAAACACTGATGTCAATCCAGAAAGGAGATGCCAGCTGCTACAGTGTGAAAACTGTGACCACCCAGTCTATATAGAAGCAATTTGGGCTGGAACAGAATTAAAGAAACACAATGGAAAGAGGTTGATCATTAAGTGGTGGTTGAGATATAATCAGGCTTATATGGCCATTTATTAACCATGACTATTTTCACAATGTACATTCAGAAAACTGGCAGAACCGATTTAAGATGGTACATTTTCAGACGGAGTAGTTTTCTTTTTACTTTGACATCTTTTGAAGGAAAACATCTGTATAAAATCAAAAAAAAAATTAACAAATGCAGCCCCTTTCCTGCTTTGGGTGGGAGGGTGGGGGTGTGACAACAGGTTTACCCAAATGACATTACAAAATCATCAATTTAAATGAAAATAAATGTATACTAGCAGAAAGGTTTGTCTCAGTTTCCGTATTTTTGCACAAAAGCGTAACATGAGCAATTCCATCTCCTTCACATCTGCCACTTTCCTTTAAGTTGAAAAAAATGCTAAAGATGCTCATGCCTGTGTTCCCATACTACAGTATTTTGTAACACTCTTGTGAAATATGGTCACAGGCTCTGGCAACCAAAATAACTCCAAATACATTCCAAGTAAACAGAACTGTAAATATTGTTGTACTTCTTTTGACTTTGATCAAGCTACGCTGCATTAGCCTGGCTGAAAAGCTGCCCAAAAATATTCATGTCAAACTTTGTTTCCAGTAGGACAGAACAGGGAGGGAAAAGAAAACCAGAAGTCTGAGATAATTAAGGGAAAGTATTTTTTGAAAATTAAACCCAAGCCCTTTTTCCTGGAAGTTAGTCCTCAAATTAGATTCTTTCCATCAATACTTATATATCATGCTAATAATGTTTGTTCTTTAATTTTAAGACTAGCAAAAAATTCCAAGTACCTTCAGAGGTGGTAATATTCACTTCCCCCATTTTACAGGAGTGGAAGGTATTAAGAACAAAATGACTTTTTTCCTAATACCAACCTAGAGAAGAAGAAAATTCCATTTCAGTGGAAGTCAGTTAAGAACTTTGAGGCTCCAAAATCCAGCGAATACTCTTGGATTTCCATATAAATCTATGATGTTGTTTTCTACAATAAAATACTGCAGCTGGTACGCTGGAAATGCCAGTAACTGATTGATTCTATGTTAAATATGAGTATTTTAAGGATCTTTAAGGAAGCCTTCCGTAAAGATCAGATTCATGATCATCTGAAAAACCTGAACAGGGTTCATAAGTACATGTCTTTGGAACCTGATGAGACGCATCCCAGAGTCCTGAAGAACTGGCCGATGGAGTTGCCAAGCCACTGTCCGGGATATCTGAAAAGTCCTGGCAGCCAGGGGAAGTCCCAGGTGACTGGAAAAAGGGGAAACCTTGTGCCCATCTTTAAAAAGAGTGGAAAGGAGGACCCTGGGAACCAATGTCCTGTCAGCCTCACCTCTGTGCGTGGGAAGACCCTAGAAAAGATCTCCCCAGAAGCTCTGCTGAGACACATGGAGGACCAGGAGGTGATCTGGGATAGTCAGAAGGGCTTCACCAGAGGCAAGTCCTGCCTAACCAATGCAGTGGCCCTCCATGACCAGTGGAGAAGGAAAGGGTGTCATTTATCTTTCTGAAATGCCTTTGCCAGGGTCCCCCACAACATCCTTCTCTCTAAATTGGAGAGAGATGGATTTGATAGGTGGAATGTCAGGTGGATTAAGAATTGGTTGGATGGTCACATCCAGGGCAGTGGTCAATGGCTCAGAGTCCTGATGGACATCACTGACCAGTGGTGCCCTCAGGGGTCTGTACTGGGACCAGTGTGATTTAATATCTTCATTAATGATACAGATGAAGAGACTGAGGGACCCTCAGCAGGTTTGCAGGTGACCCCAAGCTGAGGGTGCAGTGACACACCTGAAGGACAGGGCCATCCAGAGGGACATGGACAAGCTCCAGAAGTGGCCCCTGGAAATCTCATGAGGTTTACCAAGGCCAAGGGCTGGTGCTGCACCTGGATCAGGGCACCCCCAGGATCAATCCAGGCTGGGGATGAGCAGGTAGAGCAGCCCAGGAGAGAAGGACTTGGGGGTGCTGGTGGGGGAGAGGTTGGACATGGCCCAGCACAGAAACCTCCCTGTGCCCTGGGCTGATCCCACAGCAGGGGCAGCAGGGCAGGGGGGGATCCTGCCCCTCTGCTCCCTCAGGTGAGACCCCACCTGCAGAGCTGCCTCCAGCCCTGGGGGCCAGCACAGCAAGGACATGGAGCTGCTGGAGTGAGTCCAGAGGAGATGCCAAGATGATCAGAGGGATGGAGCAGCTCTGCTGTGAGGAAAGGCTGGGAGAGTTGGGATTGTTCAGCCTGGAGAACAGAAGCTTTGGGGTGACCTTACAGTGCCTAAAGTGGCTAAGGAACATGGAGACTGTTTACAAGGGCCTGGAGTGACAGGACAAAGGGGAATGGCTTCCAACTGTCAGAGGGCAGGATTAGATGGGATATTGGAAGGAATTCTTCCCTGTGAGGGTGGGGAGGCCCTGGCAAAGGTTGCCCAGAGAAGCTGTGGCTGCCCCATCCCTGGAAGTGTCCAAGGCCAGGTTGGACAGGGCTTGGAGAAACCTAGGATAGTGGGAGGTGTCCCTGCCCATGGCAGGGGGTGGGACTGGATGAGTTTTAAGGTCCCTTCCAACCCAAACCAGCCTGGGATTCTGTGATTGTTTCAGTGCTCAGGAATAAGTTGTGTTGTCTGGACACTGCAGAAAGAAGTCAGAGGAAGATGAGCTGAGCAAAACCTCATCATCACGTCACTATTAGAGGGGTTTTAGGTTACATAACCCATATCCTCCAAAACGGAGAGGAATCCATCCATAAAGATCAGAGAAGACAAACAACTCATGCAATAGACACCGCTGTCCCCATTCCTTCTTCATCAGCAAAGCTAATTAATATTTTCTAATAATAAAGCAGTTGAATAATCATTTGACACTAGCAATACCTGACTGAAAAATAACATTACTGCAGGAAAAGATGCAGTTTTCCAACAGGCTTGAAGAAAAAGAAGGTGTCCTCTAAATCCATCCTCTGCTCAAACACAGCAGTAAAATCCTATCTTGCCTTAAGCTGAATTCATCTTCAGTAGGTGACACCTACAACAAGCTCTGAAGTAGTGGAGAGAAAGATTTCTCATGGTTCAGGATTTTTTAAGATTTTAATATAATCCAGAACACAGAGATAACAGGTATGACACCTTTCTGAGCACTTAATATAGGGTTAGTTTTGCAGCTGTGAGCTTCAGGTAGGGGTTTTTTTAATTCCAGGTGGTAAGAATTTACTGCTAAGAAATACTCTAAACTCACTGAAACACTTTTAAAGCCCATGTTACTAAAAACAGGCACAGATACTCATACACACACTGTTCTCTAGAAGAGAGAATTTTTGAGGAAAAAATTTTAAATTCACCGTTCAGAGGAAAGAGCAAACATCCTTTCTTTGTGCTGGAATTGAATTTACATGTATGTAATATAAACACAGATGTCCAAACAAACTCATGAAACCATCACCACAGCAAACAGGGAGGAAAAAAGTTACTGAGACAGCTTTGGTGAAATTCATGGAGTTGCAACAAGAATTGATTACATCACTGTACTTAGCTGTAACTAACTAGTTTAACATTTACTGCATGGAAAGGAATGTTCCTGTTAGTAACCAAAACCAACCAACCTCAAACCTCCTGGCAGGAGGTTGAATTCTTGTCATGCTGACACAAATGAAGGATTATGTAGGTAAGTGAGCAGCTGCATTACACAGGAAAGCACATTTTTTGGCTTAAGTGAATACATAAAAATAATAATTCTTGCTGATTCCTGTAACCAAGGGTTACAAGAGTCTGTTCTCTTAAAAGAAGTCCCCAGAAGCAAAGGTTCTCAATGTATCTTCCCAGATTAGCAAAGATGAGCAACTGAGCAAATGTACAAAACTCTCTGGAACTGGAAATTTTCATAAGCAGATAATGCATGCAGACAAAACCCAAGTTCAGATGTAAGAATATTCAGCAGATTTGCTAAAATCACAAAATAGTGCCACAATTCACTTGATTTAAAAAATTTTAAAAAATCAGAATTTTGGTACACAAAAATTCTGTTAAAAATATCCTAAGTCATCAAAGCATAAATGTAAAACGGTAAATTGGGTCCCTACCTACCAATTACCTACTTCAGCCATTAAAAAGGAGACATCCAAACAGGATCTCTTCTCGATCACAAATATTTATGTTATCCTGTATTTCTTCCTCTATCTAAGCTCAGTGTATCTGTAACTGAGCTGAATTTTGGTTTTCTAGGGAAATTTCAGAGAAACATTGCTGCTGATGATGACATTGCTCTGTTACCTTGTTGTTTATGCTGTTAAGAGGTTTAGAATCATTGAGAATGGTCATTGAGACTTTTTCCATGTAAAAGAAAAAATATTTACTTCCCTCCATATACAAATTCCACTTTTTGAAGGCTGGTGCTCTCACTCCTCTGTTCCAGGGTATCACAAATGAAGATCACAGAGCACGGAAGAACATTTAACAGCTCTTAAAACTGCTGTTATCTGTTTTTTGTTGGTTTTTCCTCCTGTCTAAGTCTCGCTGAAATTTAAAAGTGGGCCACTGATGCAATTACCAAGCATGTGTTATCAGAAGTGTTAAAAAAAGCAACTTAGCTGTTGGCTGCATTTTATAAATCTCACATGGAAAAATGGCTTTTTCAGGTTGTTATGATCCAGAACAAGATAAATGATGTGCTTTCATTATTAATTCCAAATGGCTGGCAAAAGAATTCCACACCAATGGAATTTTACAGACTGCACTCTGTATTTCTTGTCCAACAAAGACACATGACGTAAGTTTAAAGCCTAGAATCTGGAACCTGATGCATACCAGGTTCCCAGCCCTCATGTGGCACACACCGGGCTCTGGGTGCAAGTGACACATTGCTGAACATGTAAAGTAAAACCTGTGGTTCCATCCCAGGGCTCTGTTTTACACTACAAATAAAATGGGATGGGAAGAGATGCCAGGATGGGTTGTGTGGAAGTTACTTGCAATGTGGTTTTCAGTGGCAGCACCACCATGCAACTCCCCAAACAGCAGGGTAGGGAATTAAACCTGTGAACAGCCAGGAGTACAATGAGAAACGCTAATTGAGTGGAACAGTCACTCCCACAGGGAATGGCAGAGCTTCCTCTGCAGGCCATGGAAGAGCCAGATGTTCTCACACAGCTGCATCAGCCACCTGAACTCCAGAACTGAAGGTGCTCACTCACAGGGAGGCTCCAAGTTCCCTGTTTGTTACAATCCCAATCCTGTTTGTTCCCTTCAATATTCTCAGAGAAGTGTTTCTCAGTCCCAGGATGAGGATTTTGTGTGGTGTGGGACATGAGGGGGTCCATCCCTCAGGCTGTGGTGCAGAAGGTGGTTCCCAGGTGAAGCAGTCTCAGCCCATGCACTGGGTGCCACAAGCTCACACCACGTCCCACAGGCACTTTGCTGTGTATGTTTTGCATTTGCCACCTCACAGGTTTTCTAGAGATAGTTTTTAGTAGATCCAAACCCAGCTACTCCACCCTGTATCAAGGAACCACAGGCTTGTGCCTTTCTGTGCAGCCTCTCCAAGGCCACAAGCACAGGAGGTGGTAGAAGAATGACTTCAAGGGCCAATGCAGTCACAAGGGAGTTCAGGTCTTGGTGGTGCTGCAGAGGTGTTGCCACAACTGCAGCCAACAATTAAGTATTCCACTGTAATCAGTGGCCACTTCTTGCCAGAGAAAGAGCCATGAACAATCGTTTCCACACTGGCATTGTCTACCAGCCAGGAAGGATCCCTTTGACTTCACCCCGAGGGGAGCCTGCAGCAGCTCACCATCACCTGTCCTTCAGTTCAGAGCTCTGGAGAGGAAACATCAATCACAAAAAAAAAGAGATTAAATTGAAATCCTTGCAGCAGTTATGCCAGATCACACCACCAACTGCACTTTCACACACCTGAGGAAGACCACAGGACATCAGGGGCCTCCTGGCATTCACGGAGGATGTCAGCAATGTCCAAGCACCTCTCTCTCAGCACAAATTCTCATTGCAAAATAAGGAAGGTAAGCAAAATACTGGAAGGTGAGTCCTGGAAGTGAACTGGCCGAAGAGCTCCAAAGGAGAGGGTAATGGTTCTGGCAGTTATCCATCAGATCTTTCTAACAGGAGGATGGGAGAGGAAAAGGTGGTTTCACTTTCTCTTACCTTTCAGCTGAATCAGTGCTTGAATTCTGCTCAGGTGCTACTTTTGCATAACTCAGAGGCACACTGAGACCCACAACTGGGCCTACAGTACTGAGCCACAGAATAATGTAATTTTTGTGCCTAGGGGAAAAAAAAA